CCGCCCCCCCCCCCCCGCCATCTTACCAGCTTCCACTTCTTCTGGAAGAGCTGGAGGTGTGGGGTGGGGATGTTATGGACAAATGATGGCACCTACGTGTCTTAAGTGAAAACACTAATAATAAGTGTGAATGTTTTCTTTCACCTGCATTTTTAAAAGTTTTTTTTAATTGTGGTAAAACACATATAACATCAAACCAACCATTTTAACTATTTTTCAGTGTACATTAGAGCAGCATTAAGTACATTCAGTGTTGTGCAACTGTCACCACCATCCACCTCCAGAGCTCTCTTCCTGAAGTCTGTACCCATTGAACAAAGAACTCACCATTGTCCCCTCCCCCCAGCCCCTGGCAACTACTCTTCTACTTTCTGTCTCTGTGAATTTGACTCCTCTGGGTACTTCATATAAGTGGAATCATACACTTTTTGTCCTGTTGCGACTGGCTTATTTCACTTAACATAATATCTTCATGTTTCACCCACACTGTATCACATGACAACATTTCCTTCCTTGTTAAGGCTGAATAATATTCTATTGTGTGAATATTGTAAATAATGCTTCTGTGAACATGAGTGTTCAAATATATCTCTGTGATCCTGTTTGCAATTCTTTTGGATATATTCCCAGAAGTGGAATTGCTGTATCACATGGAAATTCCATTTTAAATTTTTTTGAGGAACAGCTACACTGTTTTCCACAGCACCTGCACCCATTTTACATTCCCACCAACAGTGCACAATTTCCAATTTCTCCACGTTCTCTCCAACACTTCTTTATTTTCTGGGGGTTTTTAATAGGAGCCATCTTAATGAATGTGAGGTGATATCTCATTGTGGGATTTTGATTGCATTTCCCTAACAATTAGTGATGTTAAGCATCTTTTCATATGCTTGTTAGCCATTTGTCTTGACTTATTTTTTTTTCTTTTTAAAAAATGTTTATTTATTCATTTTGAGAGAGAAAGAGAGCAAGCACGAGCAGGCAGGGGTAGAGAGAGAATCTCAAGCAGGCTCAGTGCCGCCAGCATGGAGCCCAACACTGGGCCCAGTCCTACAAAGTGTGAGATCATGACCTGAGTGGAAACCAAGGGTCAGATGCTTAGCCGACCGAGCCACCCAGGTGCCCCTATCTTGTCTTGTTTGACATTGATTATTTTTATCATTCCATTTGCCTTCATCTACTAGGTTAGATGTTATACATCCTGTTTCTATCATTTTAGTGATTGTGCTAGAAATACAACATGAATCTTGGGTGTTGGAGCATCTGTAACAGTGTAAGATGTCCCCAGAAGTGCCTAAGACATTCAAATCTGTTCAATAGTTATAGAGCAAATACTAATTACAAGGTGGTGACGGTCCTTGTCGAAACTACCATGGATCAAGTACAAACTCCTTACTATCTAGCAACAAAGATAAAGCAATCATTAGTTCCACCACTGTACACAGTTTATGCATCAGTGCTGGACACACACAGAAGTCACTACGATGTAAGATAGACTGTAGTAAGTGAAAGAAATAGTCACAACAAAGTGATATTAGGTTTCAGGGAAAAATTATCACACCAAGTTGAGGGGATTAGGAAAAGCAGGAAATAGAAACAGTGAAACATGATGAACAGGACATGGGTTCTCATTTGTCAAACTTGGATAACAATTAGCTGTGTGACTTCCAACAAGTATTTGGACCCCTCTAAGCCTCAGTATCCCCATCCTCTTAGCTTGGTATACAGTAAATGCTCCATATAGAATAGCTTCCATCCTCCCTTCCTTTCTTCCTTCCTTCCTTCCTAAATTCCTTCCTTAATTTCCTTCTTAATTTTTTCATGCACCTGCTTTCCTTCATTCCTCTCTCTTGCTCAGAGCCTCCCTCAGCACCTCTCCACTTTCCTGAATGACGTTTAGAATCATGGCTGATTACTGAGCATCCCTGAAAGTAATGGGAGAGGAAATAGGGGGAAAGAGGAGAAAAAGGAGAGGAACAAGAAGGAGGGATGAAGGGAGAAGAGAGGAATGAAAAGACAGTTTGGGGGAGGTGTAAAATACAAATATTCGTGACCCTTAGAATTAGGCAATGGCCCTGAGAGGCCCTCTGAGGGCCAGCTTCCATTGGAGGATGGCTCTCTGTCTCTTCTTTTCTGGGCATGTGTCACCATCTACCTAAACTGTTGCAATATCCGCTTTCCTGGCTCTCTACCCTCTAGTCTTCACCCTCTCCAATCTATTCCACTGCTTGCTCCCAGTAGAGTCTTTTGAAAACATCTTTAATTACAGTCCTCTCCTGCTCAAAAATAGTCAGTGATTTCCCACTGCCTACTCAGTGACGTACAAATGTGTTAGCCTGGGCATTCAAGGCCCTCCTCCACTCTCTGGCTCTAACCTTTAACCAGCTCATCCCCCCACTCTTCCCCTATAAGAAGCTTGTGTTCCAAGC